CAAACTGACCTGATGGTGTAGCACTCAAATCTTCTTTTTTGTTTTCAAGTCTCCTTATTTCTGTTTGTTAAAAAGGTTGATTGTTTAACTGCCAATTTATTTTGGAGAGAACCAGGGATTTTTTGGAGACCTGAGAGGGTCTTGTATATTGTTAATAGTTGTGAAATGATGAATGTTGTACCCATGTAAAAAAAAAAAAAACAGTACTTTGAACATTCCTGTCCTCTGTTGTGTCTATTAAAGAGCTTTACTGTGCAATACTTCATGTAAAGTCATTGTGACTATTTTATTGTTGACCAGAAATAGATTTTATTTTTAACAAAGATAGCATAGAGCATTTATAAGCAATAAATTGCAAAAATCTAATGCTATCCTCTTTATGCTTATTTGTTAACGTTTGTGCAATAGGAATTCTCATAGCCAGATAAGCACCATATGTGTGTATACTTCCATTTGCTGTTAACATTACTAGGTAAGATTTGTCTTACATTGGATTTTAAATTTCAAACGGGATTTATTCCAGAGACATGAAATATTCAGGAGCCTCAGCTCAAGAGTAGCAATTCCTAACAATTGGTCTTTTCAAACTTTTTTTTTAAAAAAAGGTTAAATTACTTGACTTTATTTTTAATTTTCCTGGAGGTGTGAGACACAAAGCGGTTGGTTCTGTGGTTAAACCCCCCGGTCTGCCTTGTAGATGAAGGGATTTTGGAAAAGGATATGTCGCTAGACTTGCGAAGAAAGGTGAAACAAAGGGGTGCAGCTCCTGCCCTGATGTTGTGGTACGCGAGGGCCGTGTTCAGTGTGGGGGCGGGGCCCTGGACAGCTGGACCGCCTTCGCCTGATGATGAACAGCTGTACAGGCAGTACAGAACCGCGAGCAGGGCTACACCACACCGGCACGCCTGGAGAGGGGTTGCGCCCGATCATGAGGTCGATATTTTTTCTTTTTTTTTCCCCGCCTGTCCCGCTGTGCAGTTCCGCGGGGGCAGGCTGTGCCATTTTCAACAAGTTTGATTTTTATTTTCAGCCTTGCGCTCCCAGAGCTCCCAGACGGGACCTCGCTAGAAAGGGGCACGTCCAGTCTGGTCCCCGCCGCCAAGCGGGGTCTTTTTTCCTGGCTGGAAATTAGATGGGGTAAGTCCAGCCGGGGCCGCCGTTCTGCCCCGACGGCGCAGCGCCGCTTCACATAACGGCGCATTTTTCTATTTTTCCTTTTTGCTTTGTCGTCTTTCGGTTCCCTTTAACCTCACACGGGGTGTCGCCTCGGCTCGTCCGCTGCCGCATGGTCACCATGTGTGAAAAAGGGAGGTTTATACCAGATATCTACAGCCTTGCTAAAAGATCTGGAGTGGCGTGGTTCTCCGCCGCAGGTTGAGCATACAAATGGGTGACGCTGTAAGGTTGGTTTTTACAGCTATCCGAGGGGCATTAAAAACACAGAACACCTGCTTTCAAAACACTTTCATTTGGATTTTCCAAGGGACAAGGCAAGCACACACTGATGCTTTTTAGAAAAATAAACTTTCATCTGTATCACCACATCACTAGGTTGAAATGTAAGGGTAAACAAAAGAAATTGGCTGTATTGGTTACAAAACCTTTATTCACTTTTTTATATAGATGCATATTAAGCATATCAATTAGTTTTAGATATTCAATCATGGCTATTCATCTAATAACAGTACACGAAATATTTGTCAGACCAAAAAAAAAACACTCATAGGTACAGGTATTTTCAGCGAGCTAGATTTGACTTCTGTGAGGATTGTGGACTACTGTATTTTTCTACTCCGGGCCACAGCCCAGCAGTTCCTGGGTTGAGTAATGCTCAAACATGATGACCCAGAGGGTTGTGGGGGTCTGAAACAAGCTACAGAGCCATACTGGTCTAGCCCTTACCCTGGTTTCTGTCCAGAAATGTCTGGACATCCTGGGATCAACTGACAGTTGAGTACTGCACAGCCTTCTCTCGTTTGTAACCTTACTTATGTTCTTACTGTATGTCAAACAGACATCTAAAGTCATACAGTAGTTAGACATGAAACGAAATCTACTAAATTGTCCAGTTTTTAATGTTGTTTCCTGGTGATAAGAGTGTCAAGTACTACATTGATTAAGCACCACTAGGCGCCAGAACCAGCCGCAGAGGAGTTATTCTTCGGCTAAATTCTCCCGTAGGCGACATCCAGCTGTAAATCGGCAGCAATGTCAAAGTCCAGCACAGCAGCCTGGGAAACAGAATTCAGCGGTCAGATTCTCTCGCAAAAAAAAAAACAGAGTTTCCTCACCTGGTGCATATAAAGCAAATTGGCCCCGAGACCCGCTTCAGCTATTCAGGTCATCTTGGGAGAGGTGGTAGGTGAGGAAGTGTCGCCACCCGAGAGACACGACGATAACGGTGCTCGGGCTGTGTACCGCCATCGCCCGCTCCAGCGCGACACGGCGAGAGCACCACCCTGATCGGGCAGGGCGGCCGCCGGGGGGGGGGGCGGCGCCTACTGTACCTTGGAGAAGTAGAGCTCCGCCTGCGCCTCGTCCTGCTGCACCCCCCGGCCCTGCTGCAAGCACCTGGCGTAGCAGAAGAGCGCCACGGCCATGCCCTTGGCGATGAACTCCGGCAGGCAGTCGGTGAGCCGCGACATCGCCGGGATGTCGTCGTACTCCGCTATCCTGGGCGGGAATCCAAGACGGAACACACTTTCTTTTCCCGCTCCCGTTTTAAGAGCCGCGCGTAGTTTAGGGGGGGGGGGCAGATCTGCTCCAGTTTACCTGCTGTTTACATTTCTCAGCGTGTCCTTACGTGTAACAGTTCCAGCTGACCGTCTTGAGTTCGCAGCCTTGCCTTTCATTGCATTCAGGTGGCTGGGAACGTGCAGGGGATGCTGTGGGGAGTTGAGTGGCTGCTTGGTGGGGTACCCCTAATGGCACAGCCTGGTCTGGGTTGTAGCAATACAGAATGACCCTCCCCCCCCCCCAGCAGCAGCTGGGCTCCAGTACGGAGAGGATGGCCTGGCCGACCACTTGTGACTGCACCGGCCCCAGGTCAGTCCAGACCCCCCTCTCGCTCTCTACCCCCGTGTCCCGTTGACTGTCTGCCTTGCCCTTCCTCTGCTCTGCTCCCAGACTAAATCTCCCAATCCCCATTCTGGTTGTCCTCGGGCTCAAAGTGACTCGAATCCCTGTTCTCCGGCGGCCAGTCCTCCTTGTGTCAGCTGAGGCTCTTCTGAACTGAAACAGCCGATCAGCGTCTAACAGTCTCCCCTATGCGATCTGTCTCTGATCTCGCTGGGTATTTCCTCCTACTTACTGAGACCCGGAATCCCTCCATCATGGATAAACCCCATTTACATAAGGCTCAATTTCACAAGAACGCAATGGTCACAGCACTGCACAGTATGGCCGCTCTTTCTTTCTGCGTTTTGCCTCTGTTTTTGGGGGGAATGGAATTTGATCTTTCACCAACCCTTTTGGTTTCTAATTAAAGCTGCTGACTTTAGTTTGGTGGGGGGGGGGCGCGATTAATTTAACTGCTAGCATCCGCTTTTCAAAGTCTGCGGAGGCGAATAAAAAGGAGGGGGTCATTTTCAATTTGCTATTCGTTCCCTCAAATACGGGGCTCGGGGAGCCAGCTGAGGGTTCCCCCGAAATTAAACTCCGCCGGTGCAGCGGAACCAGAACTCCCGAGAGAGCGCCGTGCTGCGCGACGGTGCAGACTACCTCTTGGCGAGCTCGGCGGCCCGGGAGAAGAGCTTCTTCCTGTAGTAGCAGGCCACCAGGTGTCCCTGCGCGTAGACGTTCCCTCGCTCGGCCGCTTCCTTCAGGCACTCGAAGGCCGACTCGGGGTCCGAGCGGATTCCCTGTCCGTACAGGTACATGACCCCCAGCGCCCCCTGGGACTCCAGACTGCCGTTTCCGCAGGCTTCGGAGTGCCAGAAGAAGGCCTGGAGCGCAGGGAACACAAGAGCCCCCGTCTCCGTCTGTGAAGCTAATGAGCCGTTTTTAAACGCAACGAAACTTTCATTTCTTGCTCGTTAGCTGAAGCCAGTTCCTGTTTTGTTTTGTTTTTTTTTTAAAAAAAAACAAACATCTAGCGTGTTCTGACGTGGCTTTAGTGTTTGTCTTCTGGCAGGTCCGAAACGGTGATCAAAATGAAAATGAAACGCGGGTTTTACGCGCCGGACGCACCTTTTCCAGATCTAAGGAGTCGGGCCGGCTGTAAAACATGCCGAGGGCAGTCTGCGCTTGGACGCTGGCTTTTGGGTTTCCGTCGTCTGCGGCGAGAAGCCAAAGTCTTGGGAGGGACAGGCAAAGGAAAAACGGGACATTTCCAGTCAAGCCTCAGTCAGGTGTGGGAAATGAGTATTCTTTTAAGGCAGGGTGTCTGAGTCCCTGAGCTCTTTGATTTTCTTCCCACTGCCATCTCGTTGTTGTTTTTTTTTAATTTATTTTTTAAGCCCTCAAAACTGGATTTTTTCCCCCTTTGCCTTTTATTGTGGATCTCAGAATAAACCTCCTTTAAGAGAGGAACTCGAGGGGTCCTGGAGAGCCCTGGTGCGGCAAGGTCATTAATTCATCCTGTCTTAAAAACTGGGATTAGCTGTACAAAAAATAAGTAGGTGATCAGTTAAAATGTAGTAATTTAGAGATCAAAGCACTAGTGCCCCCTTAATGGAACCGTTATGGTGCTTACTTGAGTAACAGGTGGTGTTGGAAAGTCGTAAGGCTGTTCAGGGGTCATAGGGGCAGGACAGAGAGAGACGGACAGAGCTAACTTTCGTCACCTCTCTGCTTCAGCGTCGCAGGGCTGGACACCGCATCCTTCCAGGTACGCCCTGCCCACGTTGTACAGCGCGGCGTATTTCAAGGGCCGAGCTTCGGGCAGGTCAGAGGAGGCCACTCGGAGCATGTACTCCACAGCTCTCTCCTGTCGGATTCACAAACACAGGCGGGCGAGAACCGTTTCTTCCGTTTTCTCACTGCGGTGCACCCCGAGCCTTTTAAAAAAAAAAACTTGCACAAGGCCGTAAGCACTAAACTGTTTAAGGGCTCTTGTTGACGTCTTCACAAGGGAAGTGGAGAGTATCGGCAGAGAGGAGGCAGGAGTGTCTCAGGTAAGGCAGAAGCTCTCAAGATGATTAAATCCCCAGGGCCTGACAGTATCTTGCCAGTTGTTCTCAAGGACACGAGAGATGTTATTCAGAAGCCACTGACAGAACTAGTCCAGCAGTCTTAGCCAGGGACTGGAGAACTGCTCATGCAGTCCCCGTTTATACAGAAGGGTGAGGAAGCTGAATCAGGTAATTATAGACCAATACACTCTACTGTTATTAAAACTAAACTAGGGAGCTGCGTCAGCATGCATAGGCAGCACAGGAACAAGTAAAGGTTTATTCCCTGCTGAAAAGAGAAGAAAAGAAACACGTGGAGCCTTCTTCGGGTGTACCTTTTCTTTTCCACCCGAAGAAGGTTCCACAGCTGAAACATTGTGTTTCTTTTCTTTTCTTGTCGGACGCTGGGGCTGATGACCTTACACTTACGAACAGCGCCATGAGATTGCTGATGACCAGGCAGCCAGGAACTCTGTTTAATAACAGCTCAGGACGGCACCTCCGCACAGCGCGGAGACGTTCTGTTCCAGGAGAGAGGCGCCCCCTGCTGGTCCAGCAGAGGTTTCCCTCAGAGGCCTCCCATCCCAGTTCTGACCAGGTGAAATGAAGCCATAAGGCTCACTTACTGGGTCGGCTTCCATTCCCAGTCCATCATAATGCATCACGGCCAGCTGGTAAAGAGCCCTCAAGTCCGTGTCCTTCAGTGTTTCAAACGCATCTCGAGCTTCTGCATACAACCCCTATGGCAAATTAAAAAATACGTTGGCGTTGATCAACCTTACATGAACCTAAAAGAACAGTAATAATCCATTTTCCCAAAAGTATTCCCAAAAAGTGAACATTCTTTAACCCCTTCCTTTCCAAATGGCGATATAAATCCATCTTTCCTTTAAAACTACAGGCTCGGTCCCGGAACGGTTTGGGACAGAACTGCAAACGCCGGATGTTGCATAGTGAGTGAAAAGCAGTACTTGAACAACCGAAGGGCTTCCCTGTACGCTGCTGAGCAGAGCCACCGCATGTGCTGTATATTCTCCGTTTGCTCCCGCTGGGAATGTTACACGTGAAGGAATAAGCGAACAGTGTTGTGGGATTCTAGGGTGTTGGTGTGAAGAGATGAGGCAAAGGGGCGGGTTCTGTGGGCGGGGCAGGGCTGGCAGAGGGGAGGGGAAAGTGGGCGGGGTCGATGGATATGGGGCGGGTCTTTGGCACACGGGGGCGGGGTCTGGGAGATGGGCGGGGCCGGCGGAGGGCAGCAGGGGGAAAGGGGCGGGGCCGGCGGAAGGGGAGGTCGGCACGTACCTCCTCGAAGTACAGCTGCCCCAGCAGGAAGAGGGCCTGCTCGTCCCCGGCCTCGGCCTGCCTCGTCAGCAGCTTCTCGGCCCCCCCCGCCACACGGGCCCAGCCCCCTGCCGGGAGGACGCGAGAGAGGGGGTTCAGGCGAGGGGGGGGGGGGCGGTCGGCCCGGTTGACGCCCGTTTCTCAGCGGGGCGCGGGGCGGCGGCGCTCGTGGGGGAAGCTGTTTCCAGGGCCCCGCCTCCATCCCCCCCCCGTTCGCCCTTGTACAGTAACTGTGGTTTCCAGTTGTGTGCTGCTGATGGTGGGAATCCACTGGGATACCCCTCAGCCTTGGAGGCATTTTATATAATGTATTATAATAATGTATAATGTATAATGTTTCTTTATTAGCCCTATACAATTTCTTGCATTAGGAATTCGTCTTTTCGCATACCCAAGCTTTTCTCCAAGGAGACACAGACACGCAGACAGGGAGAGAAGCTTGGGGTCAGAGCGCAGGGTCTGCCATTGTACGGCGCCCCTGGAGCAGTTAGGGTGAAGGGCCTTGCTCAGGGGCCCAACAGAGTAGGATTCCTCTGCCGGCCGCGGGATTTGAACCAGCAAATTTGAATGCCTGGATGCTTCAGGAGCTCCGAGAGGAATGCTCCATACGCGCTTAACCTTGGTTAACCTTGGTCTCAGGGCTGCAAAGGGACACTCTGTAACTGGACAGGCCAGCCGCTGGTGCATCGAGAAACAGGCTCCCTTCTGAAATGAACCTCAGGGATTCCTGGAACAGTATTCATACTGTATGTATGTATGTGAATGTGCTGGGTATTCAACTGTCCCTCCCAGTCACTGCTCAGGATGAAAGTACCCGAGACTGGGCACTGAGCGATTCAAGGGCTGTCTTTAAATTGTCTTTGCGCAGGCAGCAGAGTCCAGACAGATACTGTAGGGTGAAAACTACCACAAGGGTCTCACAGCTGCCCTGCACTGATGATGAATCTCCCCAAAACCCTGCGAAAACAGTCTTGTGTTTGCTGTGTGTATTTATTACTGTATCTATGAGACAGTACATCAAAATCATCTTTGAGCTTCTGCCATTACGTTTTAACTCATTTATTTATACTTTTTTTGTCCTAAAGTCCTGGAACAAACGTATAGTTACCCGAGTAAATGTCCATCTCTGCTTCTGTCTCCTGTGCGTGTACAGCGCAGTTCAAAGTCTTAACCGCTATATTGAGAGAGAGATGCACCGTATATACCGTAATATGTGGTTGTAAACATGCTGGGAAACTTGCAGCAGGCTAGAAATCTCCGAACCCGGCAGGAAGGTGTCTGTTTGTGGAGAAGGGAGGGGTCAGCGCCTGAGATCTGAGCCACAGCTCGGTATCGACTCTGTTACCTGGCTCTTTGGCCGACACGACATCTCCCAGCCCTTCGCTGTACAAGCCTCTCAGCGCCTGGAGGAGTTGCTTTGCTCTGCCTTCTGCAAGAGGTCCGGGGGCACAGCCTGGCTCCATGCCGTTTCAGGTCCTTTAAGAGAAGTGGACAGTGAAGTCAGAAGGGCTCACGGTTCAAAGCGCGCGTCTTCGTCCGGGAAAGCGCTCTTTCACAATGGACGTGCGCGCTGCGGAGGAGATTTCAGGATTCCCACTGCAGCCGGTGTTTAAATCTTCAAAAGCTCTTACCTCCCGTGCATTAAAAGAAGAGTCTGGCTTTGGTGGAAAGTCCACGCAAATCCATTCTTCGGCGTGGTTCATTCACTTCTCAGTGACTCAGAGCGGCGTTTGTGATGTTGCCAGGTGACGTTTTCCCTGACGACCGCTCACAGGACTACAGTCATTACAATCGCGTATTTCAGGCTTCATTTCAGTCCAGTTTTGAAGTCATCACATTTAAAAGGTTATTTAAATGTTATGAGCCAGGTTGTTTGGCTCATATCGCATTAAGGTGCACTTTAAAGCGCTTCTTGTTAACCATTATCACTAATTGCCCAGCGTTTGTTGTTTCTGAATTGCATATCATCATACGCCATTCTTCGTCGTTTTTGTGTTTTAAATATAAATGGAGTGATTTTAATCTCAACTTCAAATAGAAAAACAGGTCCTCCCTATTATATAAAGTATGTATATGTTCTATAGAACAATGTTTGTCTTCTAATAACAGAATATACACATTCGGTTATGTAAAGATGGGTTTAGTAGCACCGATACCTTTTTTTTTGCCTTCAGTTCTCCTCTTTTCTAAGCAGTTAGCCGACCTCATGACGGTGCCGGCTCGGTTTTGTAATTTTAGCAGCTTTTGCTAAAATCTTTCCTGAGGTCTTCCTCGATAACGTCTAGAAAATGCGCCACAACAACGTGTTGAACCGTAACTTTGTTCTTTTACGTTAATCATTGGAGGGATTTGATCCTTTTTCCATCTTGGATGCTCTAGGAAAGAGAAGACTGCAGACTAAGAGCGTTGCTGTTAATAATTATTGTAACGACCGCGGGCTTCGGTTCGGAATGGAGCAGGCGTGGGACTCGGGGAATGATGGGGCTGAACAACACATTTATTAACTCGAACCGGGGAAAGGTACACAAGCTCTGGAACTCTTAGCCCAAGGATATTAGAGAGTCACCTTCACTAAACTCCTTCAAATCCAGACTCAAAACCTTCTTCTTCAGAAAAGCCTTTACTTAACTGGTTCCATTCTTCACCCCTCTGCTCTTCTTAATACCATCTTCCACGGTCTCCTCTATTGTTATTGTTGTATTGTTGTAATTATAATTGTGTGCTGTCTTGTGAAATTTTCTTATTTATTGTTGTAGTCCTCTTATTTATTGTTATTGTCATCCTGTAAAGCGCTTTGAGAAGCCACCTTTAAAGGCGCTATATAAAATAGTTTATTATTATTATTTATTATTATTATTATTATTATTATTATTATTATTATTATTACACACACACAGGGACAGGGGTTACAGCGCTGCACCTTCACTAACACACACACACGAAGGGAAGAGGCTGTCTCCCACTCTCCGCCCGAGTATATACTGTACATGCACAGTCCCGTAGTCCCTGTTCCCAGCCCGCCCTGCGTGGCGCTGCATTATAATTGTAATTGCTCGCACTTACATATAGCGCTTTTCTGGACACGCCACTCAAAGCGATCCCCCTCCAACCCCACCAGTTTGCAGCCCCAAGCGGAATTTCTTCTCCAATTTCCACTTCTCCAGCGGATTATTTTTTAATTGGAGGATGCGTTGGGTGGGGGAGGGTTCCAAGATGAACGATAAACATCTCCCTGTTCTGGCAGGAGCCCAGCACGGCCCCCCCCAGCAGGGCCGTGTGTGTGTGTGTACGTGTCTGAGCTCACAGCGCCCTGCTCCGGCCCGCGGCTGGGCGGGGCTGAGAGCGTGCCGCGCACGCGTCCTGCTGCAGCCGCCCCGCCCCCCCCCGCGGGTCCCCCATGTGCGTTTGTTTGTGTACGTGCGCTGGCGAGCCGGCCGGGGAGGTTTATAGGGGGAGAAAGCGGAACAGCTCGCACCGCTCTCCGGCCATTTCGCTCTCGCCGCGCTCCGCAGCTATGCTTCTGCTGGACCCGGACTCGCAGGTCAGCCCTCACCGCGGGTGAACGTCGTCCCCGTTCTTAACTTTGTTCGCCGGGCTCTGTGGTGGCCGATATAATCCGAGGTTTTTTTGATGCCGTGTTTTGCTTCCTATTGTCTTCGGTTCTAGCGCCGCGAGTTCCTTGTAGCAAAGCGTACCGTTAAAGCGTGTCTGCCGCTGCAGTTATCCACGCCCGGCGTCTTTACTGGCCTGGAAAAATAACTTCACTGCGGAACGTTTTAAAAGGCAGGGGAAACAAAATAATCGTAGAGGGGGTAAAACGAGTCAAAAGACGCGATTTAACTGTGACCGAAGCGTGTCCATACATGCAGTTCTTTTTTTTTTTAAAGAGTGGAATGTGAAATTAATGAATTTAGCCTCTTGCTAAAGTAAGGACAAGCTTGTTTCTCATGGCTGGACAGCGTGCTCTTCCCCACCTTGATCGCTGCCGAGCGCCGGTCTTCGAAGAGCGCCCTTTCCTGCAGTAACGCCCGCTGTGTGCTTGTGTGTGTGCTCCCCTCTGCCGGCACAGCTGGACTGCCGGGCTGGCCTGGTGCAGGCGGGCTCTGCGGTGAACTGCGCCGGCGACCCGTGCGGCCAGTCCCCTCTCCACCTGGCCGCGTCTGGAGGGGATGCCTTCTGTTTGCTCTGGCTGCTGCAGACCGGAGGGGACCCGAACCAGCAGGTGATGATACTCTTTCAACCCCGTCTTCCCGTTGTTGTCCCGCTGCAGCCAAGTTCGGGTCAGCCACCGAACCCGAAACTCGCCAGGCGCACTCCATGACGAGGGGGGTCTGGTTTCGTACCACAGTCGCAGAGCGTTTGCGAGAGACCCGGGGGGCCGCGTATTATTTCAAGGCGAAGTGCTTGCAAGTGTTGCTTTCCCCTGCGCAAGAACAGGAACGCAACATAGAAAGGGCCGGACCGCTCGCTGGTCCAGATTCTCCTTAAAAGGCGCGACCACGCCCAATGGCGTTGCTTGAGCTTCGTTCCTGACGTGTGTGTTCCCGCGTCTGTTTTTAGGACTGCTCCGGGGAGACTCCGCTCCACAAGGCCGCCAGGGCGGGCAGCCTGGAGTGTGTCAGCCTCCTGGTCGCCAGCGACGCTCGGCTCGAGTGAGTATCGCTTCCCCAGCGCTGCGGGAGAGGGCAGGCAACTTGAGCGTTTTCCCGGCTACTTCTGCTGAGAACCAGGAGCAGAAACCTGGCGGAAGGCTGTCCTGGTTCCTGCACAGCTCCTAGGTTTTGTGCAGCAGTGGTGGGATACGGGGAGGGGTGGGGGGCTTCTTGCTGGCAGGAGCTCAGCCACAGTGGTGTTCAGTAAGCGGGGAGAGGGACAGTGGGCTCCGTGCGCAAATAATCCAGATTGTGGATGGTCTGTGTGGGAGGTGTCTTAACTTTGCGTGACTTTCACGCAGTTTCTCCACCTTACTCTGCACTGGGAGAAGGGTGTGTCTGCGTCTTGCACGCATAACCGAGTTTCCGTCTCTCCCCCCGTCAGTTTGTGCACCAGCGACGGGCTGACAGCAGAGGGGCTGGCGTGGGCCAGCGGCGGCAGCGACTGTGCCAGATTCCTGGCGGCTGCCAGGAGCAACCGGAGCTTGAACCCGAGAGCGCCGGGCCGCACCGCGCCCCTGGAGCTCCACAGGGCGGGGCAGAAACGAGGCGGCGCGGACAGCGGGCAGGGCGAGAGGAAGAGGGCCAGGGACTGGTGAGACATCTGGCCCCCACTGCCCGCAGCGAGTCAGCTGGCCCCGTTTCCAGCCCAAGAGCTTTCACCTTTGAAGACAAAGTCTGTCTTCAAACCGGAGGAGACCTCACACCGCCTCTGTACAAACTGTACAGCAGGTGTCCCGCGGGGCGCGTTCGAGGTTAAGGGGGTTGGAGACTCGTATCATCAGGAGCAGGGCGCTTTGCTCCTCTATGACTTAAATGTGAACAGTCGCAGAGACCCAGCTGTCCTCCTGCCTGAAGTCTGCACGCTTTTCAACCCAGTTTCAGCCTGGAGCAACCGAAATAATCAAAGTCACTTTACTGTGCCTGTCTCCGTCTGACGCACCCCTGGGTTAAACATCTGTGCAGAATATCAACGTGACTCAGATTCCATCCTGGAACAACAGGGTCTTCTTTCTTCCATGAAGACATACAGTTGTGTTTTGGAATGAGGTGTTGTGCATAATTTAAAATGAGAGCAATCATTTAACAGGAAATTCAAGATGTATTCTTTAAATTAGCAACATTGGAATTAGTCACAATTCTTTGTGATTATTTTTGTTTACTGGCCCATTGTATGGGCTTGAGCTGTTTTTTTTTTTTGCGTGTGTATTATTCCCTTCCTGAAGCATTTTTAAAGACAAACCTGTGTAATGTCATTTTCTCTCCTGAAATGAAATCTGAAAAGTTGCTAACTTAAACACTTTTAGAGATGATTTGAGTCAGATCTATTGCTGTTAAGTGTTTGTTAAAAAGGTTAAGGAAATTCTACAACACTGAGGTCTGATGAGTAAATGATGCTGCTACTTTAAATAAAATTTTACACTTTTGTTATTCAATGTTTTATTTTGGACTCCAGAGTATATTCTGATGTTATTAAAAAAAAATGTATGTTGCACGTGCATTGACAACACCTGAGTTAGTGGGCACCACACTATATAGCCTTTGGCCTCTGAGGCATGCAGAGATTGTAGTACGCATTCTGATCCCAAAAGTCAGGTCCTTTCCATCCACACCAGCCCTGAAATCACAAAACAGGTTTAAAACTTAATCTCATGAAAGCGAACACTCAAAAGGAAACGTTTCGTTCAAGGCGAATAAATGTGACATCGGCTACTCTAGCCCTGTTTATCCATAGGTACAGCTGCCACTGAGAGAGTGCAACTTGAGAGAGTGAGATTTGTAATTGATGCTCTTGGTCCTGGATTGAAAAGACTGAATGCAGCGCTGGTCGTGCCCTTGTGTTCCTTACATAGTGCCACAATTACAGGATAACCTGCATTCATCCACCGTGACCCTAGCAGGATGCCTCACAAGGACAGAAATAGCTGTCGTTTGAAAATTTTAGTGATATTTTGAAAAACACTGAGTCGGTTGTGGGAATCAAGTATTCCTGCTGTTCTGTGATGTAGTTTGACAAATTCACTGCACATTTTTCAACATGCTATTTAATTCCTGTATCGCATGCACAATGTTGCTTCCGCCTTCCATGAATCAGGGAGAATGGGATGTATTTAGAAATGATGTGGTTCAGGTCTTGCCTTGCAGTTCATGAGGAAGGGGTTTCCTGGCTCTGGAATGGCAGCACTAGTTGAAATTGATCTACAGTATGGTCAAGAGGCATTCCCCTACCTTCTCAGTAATAACCTGGAGGTCTTCAGCCCCAGTGTAGTGTGGATCCAGTATGAGGAATTTGATCTGTCCTGTGGTCTCACTCCACGCCACTCCCAGAATGGTGTGCGCCAGCACCCCTCCACCTGGCACAGAAACAAACAGGATGCTTTCTGAATTTCTTCAACAGTCTAACCACGATCCGTTCAACAGGCGCTGGGCGAGTTCAGTTCTGTAACTTACAGTTCACTTAGAATGAAAATCAGAATATTCTTCAGCCCTTCAAGACAAGTGCACACTCCACTGAAACATTTAATTATTTAAATCGATCAATGACTCAAACAACTGCTGCTGAGCTCCAGGTGAAGGACAGATGTAGGGGACCTGTAAGAGTTCCTGGGATTATGGCAGGACACCCTGTGACTTTAAATAATCAGTCAAACTACAGTGCGTATCTTTGGGCGACGGGGGAGACAAGACCCTCACAGACCTGGGGGGCACATGTCTGTTCACACACACAC